CATTTACACCCGTATCGATGGGAAAGTACAATACTCTCCTCAGTGCTGGCTTGCACAAGAATGAAAAGAGGAGCGCTGGGATTGGGTGGAACAGATGGGGAAGGCGGGTGCATATTTGTGGTTGACTATTTGGAGGCTGACAGGCCTCGGTCAGTGAAATCCTGTGTATCTGTGGGTGTGGTCAGTGATTTGGCCTTTTCAATTGGTGTTTTGCCTTTGGGTGTAACCATATTTTCTTTTTACTGTGAGAGAAAGTCAAAATTCAGTAATACAGAAGAGCACATTAATTACTGTTGTGTGAACTTTTAGTGAAAAGAAAATTGTTGAAGTAGCTGAAGAATATAATACCATCCTTTTCACTTACTGTTAAAGGTAATAATGATCATTTCCTATGTGTTTGCAGGCCTGTGATTAACATAGTGAGCCATTTTCCAGTGCTTCTTAGGTTCGCACCCATTTAAGCAGCTGTGAGCCATAGCCATCCAGGTCATAGTATGTTTTAAGTTGGTCAGTGTCGCCCAGAAGATTTCATTCTCCCGTCTCTTTAGCATTGCAGTTCAGGAATCACAGCTGCTGCTGTCAATCAGGAGAGCTTCACACAGATCACTGCAGCCATGATTTTCATGACAGGAAATGACCTCAGAGCATTTGAATCCTCTGAGAAGAGCAAAATATCTTCCGATATTTTCGGAATATCTTCTTTGCTCAACTGGCTTCATCAGAAAGTTCATGTTGGCCTAAACTGATCTAAAAAGTTAGTTTACCACAGGAAACTTGCAGTGAGATGGGAATTTACTGTTGGTGAAGAGTTCCTAATGACAAATGACACATCAGAGCAGCTAATGGCTAAAATACATCAATAAGGTGACTTTTCTGTCATGTTGCAACAGTATGAGCTCTGATTATCTGAGAGTTGAGGCCCTGTTTTCTGACGTCATTGTGTACGATATGGGAGAGAGGTCAAAGTTTAAGACTTAGCTTCAGCGTGAGAAACAGGACAGGCAAAACAAGACAAAACAAACAAGCAGATAAGAGCATTATCCCAGAGAGAAATGTCCCGCAGGACATCACTTCATGCAGTGAAACCCCCAGAGGGCCTATTAACTTCACATTGTTATTTAGTAGACTGGATTAGCTCACAACGGCTAATGACAAAATATTAGCAAAATTGCTTTTAAAAGTGGCAATTTGGTAGTTGCCACATGTGTCAGCTCTTCATAACACTAATAGGCTTTTCACACTACACTTAATGCTGTTCTAACATGCAGATTATGGCCGCTTTTAACCTGGAGTTAAGCAACGTTTCACACTTGTAATGTTGAAAGAGGGTTAGCGCTGTTTTTAAGCCTGAGGTATAAAGCACTGCTAAGCAAATCGGAGAGTTACTTGAACACTAGGTATGTGCACATGCACTAATTGTCATCAATCAGAATTAATCCAATCCGATTTCAGATTCTGAAAGTTCTGTTTATATGAACCCTAAATGTAGCAATCGGTTGAAATTTCATTCGGATCGAGCTCAGTCGATTGGATTGAGGTTTTTACATGAAGCCATTTTAGTTCATTTGAGCCATCAATCCAATTAATAGATTATTTGGGTGTATGTGAATGTAGCTACTGTGTAAATGCTAACCTAAGGGACCCAAAAATGAAAATGAAGAAAAGTTCCAAACCTGTATTTACTTTCTTCTGTGGATTACAAAAGAATATATTTTGATGCAAAATGCCTCGGAAATGTGTTTTTTGTCCATACAGTGCAAGTCAGTGCTATCCAGTGGTGTTTTGGACCCAACAAACTTTTAATTTTATGGACAAAAATGGTTGACATAGGCTATTCTTGAAAATGTCCTTTTTGTAATCCATTGAAGAAAGTAAGTAATACAGAGTTGGAACGACACGAAGCTGAGTAAATGACAACAAAACATTTATTTTTTGATGAACTGTCCCTTTAAGTGTATAAAACGCTAACTTGGATCAAATAATCTAGCATGATGTTAACACAGGGTTAAAATGAACTTTAAATTAGTTCAATTTCAAGTGTGAATGGTCTTTGTAAATATTTGGGCTGGAATGACTCAAGCTGCAAACATCAGCTGGTGTATTAATGTGATTTAGATCAAATCAGCATCTCATTATCTGGCTCCATGTGGCTGGTTCCTCTGTTTACATTCTTTTATTTGACATTACAAAGCCATTAGTTCACATTCATTATTTAAGGTATTTTTTAGGGGGAAAGACTTCAAATGTGTGGCCTATTCTCTAAAGACCATAGTCATTTCCCATGACTCACGTCCCCTTGCCAATGAAAAAATGTGCTTCCGAAAATTCCTCCTGTGGTCGTATTGCCAGGTTGTACATGTCTCGCGTCTGCTGGACGTTTCGAGTATTTTGAGAACAAGACTGGCTTCATTGTGCAATTACTAGCAATTATTATGTCCAAGTAGTTTGCATGTCTCTCAGCAATAAACCGATCCTGTAGCTGTAGGGTTCCGGGGTCTCTGAAGTGTGGCAGAAATTAACATGCAAGGCATTTGTCACTGTAATTACAGATTCATTATTTTTCATACTCTTTCTTGCGTTCTCTATCTTTCTGACGACTTGGGGAAGATTCCATCTCCCTCAATTATTCCCATCTGGGTTCATTTTCAACACTCACGCTTCATTACTGGGGAACAGAGCGCTCGTTGTACTCTCCTCCCTCCTCCTCCCTCGCTCCCTTGCTCTTTCACACCTCTCTGCTGCCAGCCCGCCACCCTCGCTCACACTGACACTGACGACTGGCACATAAACACACACCGGCTGGCGTGCTGCTCTGCCCTGGCACCTGTCACAAGGGAGGGTGGCATTTGGCAATGTTGCAAGTGTTTTTGAAGGGTCTTTGTTTCATGTGGTTGTATATTTACTACACGCTAATTCCTGCAGCGTTATCTTAAGTGTTTATTTAAAGTACTTACTCTACTGTTCAGAATACGGTTTTACTGTTTACATACACTACTATGTTTTTTGAGAAGAGTCTCTTATGCTCACCAAGACATTTATTTGATCAAAAATACAGTAATATTGTGAAAAATTATCATTTAAAATAATGGTTTGAATATATTTGAAATTGTAACTTATTCCTGTGATGGCAAAGCTGAATTTTCAGCAGCCATTCAGGGCTCTACCCTTACTTTTCTTTTTAGGAGCGCTTATGCTCCTAATTTAAAAGATTTAGGAGCACGGTCAAAAATTTAGGAGCACCTTCTAATCAGTAATAAAAAATTCTGATAAAAAATTAACCTTCCCATTACGAGGTGATATTTGACTCTTTAAAGTGATTTACAGGGAATTTTGTTTTTACCTTTGTGTACAAGTAGGACGGTGGCCGTAATTCCCTGATATCTAAAGAATCTCTATCTTAAGAATCATAAATGGTCATGATTGGTTTGTTTTGTTCAGGCTTCCACAGGATTTCTTGCTTTTGAAGCTCATCAAGTCTATCTTTTGACAGTAGTCATACAATCTGTTGCAGTGAGGTGTAGAGCAAACCCTGTTTTCCTTTGAAAGGAGAACCGAAAAGAGGTGCTGTCTTAATTGATGCCTGGTTAGACCTTAATGTGCTTCTGAAATTTGCACACAAAAGGGGTATTTTGGGATGTTGCCGTGGCAACAGGAGCCCCAGTGGATGACAGAAGGGCAGATTATAAGAATGGTCTGAATAATGTCACTTGAGAAAACTGCAAAGATGAAAAAATGACCAACAGACCATTTTTCAGTGGTTCAAGGTTATTACCTTGTTTCGCCAGATTAGAAGGCATTTTAAATTTGAGAAACAAAATAAACATTGATGGATGGAAGTACAGTCAATGCAATATGTTGTAACTGATGACTCATTTATTCCACCAAACACTGAAAAAACATCTGTCCCTCAGCCTCATTTGTGCTTGTCAAATTAAACTTGTCACCAAGAGCTATGGCTTAAAACTGACTTCTGTTTTTCTCTCTCTTTTAAGCTTTGTTCTCACTTGCTCTTTTCCACCCTTTTCTCGTTCTGATTCATTTCCATGTAGATTTAAGCTAAATCCATTTCTAGAGTCAATTTAAACGACAGTAGGTTATTCGCCCATTGGAAATCCTCAGTCACACCTACCTCTCTTTTTTTTCTTTTCTCCCCAAGCTCCTCCTTTTGTTTACTCCTTCATCCCTATTCTATATTTTATTCCTGCCCTTCATAATCCAGCCACAGTCTCACATCTCGCCCAAAGAAAATTGGGGCCCTTAAAAGATGCTCTGTCTCCCCTCAAATGCTAGATATAGCTCCACAACCTGACAGATTACTCCTCTTTGTTCATGTGTAAATGATTCAGTGTCCTGGTGTCTGGTTGTTTGGAGGTAAACTGACGTCAAGAGGCCAAAGCATCTCTTCCAGCTTGTTAACCCCGATATTCAATTTCATACATCACTGCATTGAGACACACAGTAAGCCATAGCAGTCCATTACAGAGCAGATGGTCATGTGACCGGGGTGTGCCCTCTGTGCAGTGCTGGGAGACACATGGGACACTTGTTCTGCAGTGTTTTACAGGCATGCTTTGGACATTTGGGCATAATGCAGATCATTTATGCCCTAAGAGTTTTTCATTACTTATTCTAATAAGTAAAGCAGACTAAAAATGTTTGTGCTTATGATAAGTTGCTCTCATGTGTCTTTCCTGTCTTGTTTGACTCCTCATAAATCATCTTAAGGCCCTGGAAACACGGCAGTTAACCCAAAATGTTTATGTGGTAACATCTAAAAAAAAGTCAGCATTGTTCAATACTACTGAAAAATCCTGAGTACATCGGGTTACACTCATGAAAGTCAGATCACATAGAAATTGCTTAACAAATGTTCATATTTCAGTGTGTATGGCCAACATGTCTTAGTTTATTGTATGAGATTAATCCTCCCTTGTCTAGTTGAGTAAAATGTATAATACTGGGAATAATCCTGACATTAGCCTCTTTTTTAATTTTTCCAGGACAGTGACATCCAGAAGAAGATCGACTATGAGATCCGAATGCGTGAGGGTGCGTGTAAGCTGCTGGCCGCATGTTCTCAGAGGGACCAAGCGCTGGAGGCCTCCAAGAGTCTCCTCACCTGCAACGCCCGCATCATGGCCTACATGTCAGAGCTGCAGCGCATGAAGGAGGCACAAGTCATGCAGCGGGTCGCACGCAGGTCAGCAGTCACTTTTGGATTAATTTAGTTCAGTTTGTGTCAACAAGTTTGGTTGAACTAAATTAGATTTTTGGGTGTCTTGGATGTTTGTGGTGCTTTATATAATGTTAATCAGATTATAGGCCAGTTTCTTGGGGTCAGGCATTTCTATTATACTGTCAGCACTGGTAACAAATATAAAGTTTCAGCAAAATGTTCACTTCTAATAAATGCAGTTTGACATCTGTTGACCAGTACTTCAACACAGACAAAATCCAACACTTATATGCTTTTTGTCTAAAAATAGCAGAATGTATTGCCTAAAGTAGAGCAAATTGGGCAGCCACAAAGCACATGAAAGCAGAAAACAGTGTTGAGGTCAGAAAGAGTTCAATGTGGTGACAGCTAACACTGTATCACTCTAAAGCTAATGTCAAAGCATTAAATGTTAATTTAAGGCAAATACAACAAGCTTGTCCTTTTAGTCACATGGTTGACCTTAAGACACAAAACAAATGTAAAACTAAAGCTATGTTCAGAAAAACTTCTGTCTAATGTTTTAAAAAAATATTTTTTGTATCCCAGTTTAATATGTAGAGGCAGTTGTAATTGGGGCATTTAAGGGGTTTAAGAACTCGTTGTGCTGTCATCTTGAACTTATGTAAGGATGTCAGCGCATTGCTTTTTTATTTGGCATATCAACCAACCTGACACAATGACATTGGCTCAACCAATATTATAAGTTTGGGATGGGACTGTCAAATGGCAGACAGAGGAAGTGCTCGGGAAATTTTTACAATTCCATTTGGTGACACACACTTCAGCTTTAATTATGACTGAAGCATTTTACGCATTGTGGTTTGTGTCTTATTGTTTGTGTTCAGGTCTTCTGATGCAGGTCCAATGGATGACCGATCCCCATGTAAGGGCAAAGTAGCCATTTCAGGTATGTTCACAGAAAAGAATTCAGGTAGTTATGATTAATTCACGTAATGAAAAAATATACACTACTGTTCAAAATTCTGGGGTCTGTAAGTTTTTTTTTAAAGAACTATCACATCAGAAGTGCCACAGTAAATCAAAAGCGGCAGTTGTAACATTTAGAATGTTACAAAATATTTCTGTTAATTTCGTATGAATGCTGTTCTTTTGAACTTTCTATTCATTAAAGAATCCACGGTTTCCACAAAAATATCAAGTGTTTTCTTTTTTTTTCGTTTCTTTTTTTTTTACTTTTTTTGTATGAACTTCAACACAATAACAATCAAACAACACGCCTTCAATGGGTACATACATAAATATTTTTCCCAAAGTATAACATAAAAAGTAAAATATATTTCAGTCTGGTCAACTGGTTACGATATAAGCAAATATTTGTAAGCATGTATACGTGAATATTTGTGGTCATACATTCATAAACATAATACTAATTTCCTTAGGCTTACTATCAAGCAGCCGTTGATCCTAATTACATACATTTACATTAATGAATATACATATTTCACTTTGGCATTTATCTGTCTTCTCTCTGTTTTGATATATAGATTGTCCATTTTCCCCAGTGTTTCTTAAAAGTCTCTTCTTGCAGTCTCAACCTGAATGTCAGTCTTTCCATCTTGTAAATTTCTGTAACTATTTATTCCCACTGAGTTCTTGTTGGGGGAGGCTGCTGGAGCCATAGTCGAGTAATCGCTTTTTTTGCTGCTGCTAGTAGAATCCTGAGTAGATATTTATTCCTATTATTAACTGAATCAGGTATATTGCCAAGAAATAGAATATAAGCTGTTTTTTCAATCTCAATTTCCAAGATTTCCTCTATGCTAGAATGTATTTCTGACCAATACTGATTTAAAACTGGACAAGACCAGAAGACATGTACATGATCAGCCGATAATGACCCGCACTGCCTCCAGCAGAAGCCCTGATTTGTCATTCCTTTTTGTTTTGCTTTCACTTTGGGTGTAATAAAGAAACAAATTGTATTTTTCCAACAAAATTCCCTTAGAGCCCTGGAATGACTAGTCACACACTGTGAATGCCATAAGTTCAGCCATTCTTCAGCTGGGATACAAATCTGCATTTCCTTTTCCCACTTTTCTTTAATATACTCAGTAGAATGGCCTTTAAAAATATTAAGTGTTTTCAACATTCATAATAATAAGAAATGTTTCCTCAGCACCAAATCAGCATATTAGAATGATTTCTGAAGGATCATGTGACACTAAAGAATGGAGTAATAATGCTGAACATTCAGCTTTGCATCACGGGAATAAATCACATTTTATATATTAAAATAGAAAAAAAGTTATTTTAAATTGTAACAATATTTCACAATATTAATGTTTTTACTGTATTTTTAAAAATTAAATAAATGCAGCCTTGGTAAGTATGAGACGTCCTTCAAAAACATTGAAAAATCTTGCTGACCCCAAACTTTTAAATGGCATGTATGAACAGAGAATGTTATACTGTATATGGATTCTGGTGTATATAACTTTCTCTGGTTTTGATTGTGTGTATTGTGCGTAAATCATGCAAACCAGTTTGTTTATACGGGTGTCTGAGCACTAAATCACACCCCTGCTGTTTTATATATCAGCGCCTGTGTCTCAGTCTGCTTGGGGCTTCTTTTACGAGTCGTCCTCCCCTTAACTCGCAGTTCAAACTCCTTTACTGCACCCATGGCAATCTGTGTTTGAGGCCTGGAGGGTTGATACTCAGAAAATGCTGTAATTATGACGTCATTATGAAGAGGTTATAGAGGACCTTATACCCTTACTTCACACTCATATGCAAACTAACCTTCTGAGACCCAGAATTTTTTTTTTTTGTTTGTTTTTGTTTTTGTGAATTTAGTATTTTTTCATGTCATTACATTGTTTAGTGCATAAGAACAAAAAATAATAATAATTTTGAAAAATTATATTTTATTCATATGTTATGCTATGTAGAGGACACCAGGACTCATAAAAAAATAAAAATGAATGAACATGAATAGGCAAAAACAATAAATCATCAATAATTTTTTTTTATTCCAAACTTTGTATAAAGATGATTCTCAACTATGTTATGAAAGATATAACAGGATAATTTAATATACTATTTTGCTTTATGCAGTATATGTTTAAAATGGCCATAAGAGTGCTTTCCAATTATATACAATGTATCTATACACTATCTAATTTGCATATTAATGTGTTCTTGGGACATTATGTAATGAAAAAAGAAGTGTATTAATGGGAATAATAATTGGCAAGATTTTTATAATAATATCTAATATTTCATAGGAATATTGATATATAATTTATTTTTTCCAATTTACTTGTTGTGTCTCCCAAAATGCGTAATAAACATGCTTTTAGTCCTGGTGTCCTCTACAGTGCACATATAAGAAATCAATGTCCTGTTTCGTAACAGAAAGTCATATTTTGATTTGAAACCCCATAACATTTTTCTGAGATGTTGATTTATGACAAACAGTTTAGAAATGTGTCAGATTTAAAGGATAATAACAAAATATTATCATATTTCCATAAGGATGTTCAATTTGATCACTAAATTAATGTCAGCCATTTTCAAGGCAGAGGAGAGGGAATGGTGATGGTGAAACTTCCAAACATTTGGTATCTCTGAAAAGCCCCGAATGTGCTCTGTACAGGACATCCAGACTTAAAACTGTGACATGTAAGTGCTCCGAGAAGTTAGCTAAAATATGATGTCCTCTACAGAGGACAGAAGGTCTCAGGAGGCTAATGTAAACCACACTCATATGTAGTCACAGACGGAATCAACAGAATTTTCTGCATTTTTTTGTCAAATTCTGTGCAGTGATTTTATTGGTGAATAAATACATGATCAAATTAGACAAAATATTTAATGAACAAACAAACAAAAGGTGGGGCATTTGTAAAATTCAGGGCTCGTGATATATATATATATATATATATATATATATATATATATAAGGAAGGAATTTTATTTCAGTATTTACAGGGTATGAGCAGGATTTTTGAAAAATCAATTTAAGGCTTTTTATGACCCTTTTTAAGACCTGCACTAGAAAAATTAACATGGTATGAGTGGGGTTGGGCAATGTCTAGTGTAACATATTAAAATGTAAAATTATATGATTTACAGTTCAGTTACAGGTTTTCACAAAAACAAAAAGTCTTATAAAACGATAAACATCACATTTTAGCCTTTAAACCATTTAAGAAAAGGGATGAGTCAAATGTATAAATTATTATATTAATATTAAACATAAATATTACTTCATTTATTAGATTTTTAGAAGGCACATTAGCTTCTTTCACATTTACAACTCTACGTGTTTGCTGCGTAAAAATCATGGGTCAATATTCGCATTGATCTGAACATAAGCAGCAGAAAGGCTTATTGATAATGCAAATTAATTCTCTACCACTAGGTGGGGCTTTTGAAACAGCAGAAATATAGCGGTTTCCCTGGTAACGGCTGTACACAAAGCAGTGCTGTGCTCATAAACACTGCTTTATTAGGCATTATAGAAAAGATTAAATGAAAATGTCATGGAAACTTTTCTGAAGAAAGTCGGTTCCCTTCAGAGATACATTCATATAAAAACACCCGCGCCACATTTTGACTTTGTAATGTGCAGTGCTCATAAGCTATTCATTCAGGCTATTTTAGATTTTAAAGTTTAATCCAGCTATATTGCGATTCTTGCGTTTCCGTCCCCAAATGTAAGACCTCTTGAAATTATAATTAGGACTTTTCTTATAACATATAAGTTTAATTTATTTATTTTTATGGCCTTAAAGTGCCCCTATTATAAACAAATATTACCTTTCATGCAGTGTGTCATGTAGCTGTATGTGAACATAAACAATCTGCAAAGTTGTGAAGCCGACAGTGCACAATAAATAAAGTTATTGTCTATCAAAAAAAAGAGTCTGCTCGCAATCGCCTAAACAAGTCATCAGGAATTCGAATCTTATTCTGTTACGGCTGTACGTCACGAAGTAATACATTTGCATAATGTCCGCCCACGTTCTACGTCGCCAACTTGCCCACCCACAAACACAGTAAAATTTCCGTGTGGTTAACATCATGTCGAGAAGACGCTGTATTCTACGCTGTGAGAGTAAATTTGTTTTATCACATCTTATATTTACAGCAAAATTGTTAACACTTGACACTTACCAATGAGAAACGTCCTGCTCCAGTCGTGCTTGCGAATCAGTCTCTTGTCGATCAGCCAGTTCAACCGTTTAATCATCAGACTCCGGCTCGAATTGGTAAGGTACAATCGATACCATCTTTTCTATGTATTGACAAGTCTCCAGGGCTGTCATTCCGTCATGGCAATGGGCGTTTCGTTTCCGACACACGCTGTACGCGGTAGACCAATCCAGAGCCAATCTCTCTACAGCTCTGGACCAATCACAAAGGACTGCGTCATCTGACCGATCACAGCAGTGAGACCAATCACAGCAGGGCTCACGGAAAGGAGGGGTTTATAGAGACTGATTCTTTGAACTGCTTCGCATGAGTCGTTTATGAATCATTTAGAAATGAGGTAAAATTAAATCTATTTTTTGAGAAAACTAATGTCTTTTTTGACCTTGCATGCATGTAAACCTGTTTTAGGAGACTCATAAAAAAATAATAGCAACCTTAAAAATGGTATAATAGGGGCACTTTAAATTTGATACATCTAAATTGAAGACTTTTTAAGGACCCGTGGGAACCCTGTATTTAAGAGGGTGGTGATACATTTTGGTAGCCCGACTGGAAGACACAATAGCCTCGGGACGTTGGGCTAGCAATTTTGCGAGCCCTGGAATTTTATCAATGACCAGCATCCCTGTTCTGCAGAAATATGCTATGCTTTCTTCGGCTGCAGATTCTGTGTGGGATTCCTGCTCATGCAACATCATTCCACTAAACAAATGCATCCAGGCTGTTAATCATGTAGTTCATCCCACGCACATGCAATCTAATGTTCCCACATGCAGCCTCGGTTTTGTGTTTTCTGCTGTCCATCATCTACATTCAGTACCCAATTATTGTTCCCTAACAACCTCTTCCTATTAATTTAATTGAAGTTCTGTCGTTATTAACAAGCCTGATTACACAGACCTTGACAGAGAAGCTCATCCAGGTGGGCTGAAGTGATGATGTGGTCTTGATGTGGTGGGTGGGCCAGTATGATAATGGTGATTTATACTGGCTGGTAGCATGGCATAAAATACCAGATGTGTGTTGTGAACATATTTTTCTTTTGATTGACATGGAGTGACAGCCGACATTGGTTGCTCGCAGCTGTGAGTGACACTGAGTGTGTGTGTGTGTGTGTGTGTGTGTTATAACCTTGTGTTTCACTCTGACCTCCAATTCCTCTGTTTTGCAGATCTACGGATACCTCTAATGTGGAAAGACACAGAGTATTTTAAGAATAAAGGAGGTAACATCTGTTTTTCCTCTTCACTCTGATATGCAGGTTAAATAACAGAGCAGGTTGTTTAGAATATATTTGATCTTTATAACCCTTGTATAGCACACACACACACACACACACACACACACACACACACGCATATGCATTACCGTGATAACAAAAAACACATTTATTTATGAAGCGTTCAGGCACAGCAAAGCCCTCTGGGTAAACAGAATATTATTACTGGCATTGTGGAAACCTTTTTCCAGACCACAGTGACTAATGTCGTTTCGCCTAAGGTGCTTAGAGCAGCTGATAGAGGTGACATTATGTTGATGAATGTGACACAGTAACCCACATACATGTGTTATTCTCTCATGGGAAAGCTTTTATATGTACTTTATCCTGTTAATGGAAACATATATTTTAACAGCCATCGAAATGATTAGGACAAGAACGTTTAAGACTGGTTGTGTCACAGTTATTCATGTTCTACAATTTGTACAAGGAAGAAAATGCACAGATAATAATGTTGCCCTGAGCAGGAAAAGGCAGGACAACTCACACACAGGTGCAGGAGTAAATGTTTCCTGAATGAACAGAGCTGCTTGGGGGGATTTCATAGGCACTGGGCCAAGCATGCAGCTACATTGGTGAAGACATTAGAGCAGGTGTGACTTGTAAGTAGTACATGTAAATGTCTTTCTTTATTTCTTCAGAGCTGCACCGGTGCGCTGTGTTCTGCCTGCTGCAGTTGGGTGGTGAGATCTTTGACACAGACATGGTGATGGTGGACAGGACACTGACAGACATCTGCTTTGACAACACAATTGTCTTGTGAGTGTGCATGTTTATTGTGTCATTTTAACTGTTTCTGGACATTTATTCTACACATACATATGTTTTTAATCTTTGTGCAACTTCCAAACCAGCTATAGTTTGTTTGTGTCAGTATATAAACTAGATAAACTTTAAAAAAACATTTTATATATAAGTCTTACTGACCCCAAACTTTTGAATAGTAGTGTATACTGAATTTAAATCTACATTTGCACTATTTTAACATTAAATGTGTGGAGTAATACGAAGCAATGTGCTTCAATCATGCTTTGCTTACTGTGTGCAGTAATGAAGCCAGTCCAGGGTTCGAGCTGCGGGTGGAGCTGTATAGCTGTTGTTCAGAGGAGGACTACTCAGCAGGCAGCACACCGCGGAAGCTGGCCATCAAGCTGAGCTCATCTCTGGGAAGGTCAGCAGGAAAGAAAATGAGGGCGGCATTGGAGCCCGGAGCCAGCAGCCCCACTAGCAATGGAGGAGGAGCGGCAATCCTGCTGCCTGTGCCCTCTGTACCGTAAGTGTGTAGAAACACACACATAAACACACTGCTGCTAGGTGAATAAAAAATGCTAAAAGGATTGCTGTGGACTGCAGTCCAGTGATAAACATATGTTCAAAGATATGGAAAAACAACAAGCAACATACAAGACAGTTTAAAAGTCTGGGATCTGTACGATTTTTTAAATGCCTTTGAAAGTCTCTTATGCTCACCAGGACTGCATTTATTGGATCAAAACTACAGTAAAAAATGTTGTGAAATAATATTACAATTTAAAAGAACTGTTTGCTATTTGAATATAATTTCAAAAGTAATTTTATTTTATTGATGGCAAAGCTGAATTTTTATCAATCATTATTCCAGTCTTTAGTGTCACATGATCCTTCAGAAATCATTCTAATATGCTGATTTGGTGCTCAAGAAATGTTTAGTATAGTAATAAAAAAAAATATTACTGACCCCAAACTGAACACTTTTTAATGGCTTTTCAATTATTTACTGGCTTGTCACAATAATACCTTATAATTATTAATTTTTTATTTCAGGACTTTTCTCAGCAAATACATATTTTATATATGTGACCCTGGAGCACAAAACCAGTCTTAAGTCGCTGGGGTATATTTTTAGCAATAGCCAAAAAAACATTGTATGAGTCAATTTAAACCATTATTTATTCAGCTTTCAGATTATGTATAAATCTCAATTTAAAAAAATTGACCCTTATGACTGGTTTTGTGGTCCAGGGTCACATATGTATTAGCAAATATACTGTATATGCAAATATCCAGCAAAAATTTATTTTAAATGTATTCACAATTAATTTGATTACTTCATCAGTTTATCATTAATTCGTCAGTTTATTCATCAGTTTATTTATTTGTGTTTGATTGACAGTCATAGTTTAAATATGTTTGCATATTCCCTTCTCTGATTGTGTTTTATGTGTTTATAGGGGGCCCAAATATCATCTTTTGGCTCACACAACCCTCAATCTCTCTCACATCCAGGACGGCTTCCGCACACATGACCTCACAATCACTGGAAATGGTGAGCCTCCGAACCCATTTTTAAAACTCAACTTTTTTAACCAGGAATATCTTTATTTAGAAAACATGTCAAAATACTGTACATGTCAGCCACAATTTTTTTTTTTTACTTTTGAAATTCTAATAATATGTCATTTGAAATTAGAATTTGGTATTTTACTTTTGAAATTTTTTTTTAAGATAAAAGTGATAAATTGCGATGCTTTGATATGTCAACAAGTGCCTTTTGGGATTTTATTAAAAGCTCATATTTATGACATGCTAGTTTTCTTCACATTGCAGGTAATCAATTACAGACAGGCCCGCAGAGCACGTTTGTGTGTGTGTTTGTGTGTGCATTGTCAATGTCTGTCAGATTTATTGTGTTAGGGTCATGCTCATAAACTTCTTGGGATGGCCAGTCAATTTGAAGGGCCAGTAAGAGGCGTTATAGCCGTCTTCATGTCTGAGGAGTTACTGCAGACAGTCTTACAGCCTGAGTGTGGGCTGCTCGCTCTTGCAGATGATAGAATACTTTGTTGTAAAAGATGTACTAAAACTATAGGGTGCAAAACATGACGTCATTTGAATAGCTTGTTTACTTGGTTTTAAAATACAGTTTCTAACTTTGTAAGATCACACATTCCTATCTTTCTCTCAGTAGGAGTGCCATTACTGTATCATTTTGTCTCTTTGTCTCTCTGTAGAGGAGTGTTCGTACTGGCTGCCTCTGTATGGCGGTGTGTGTTGTCGTCTGGCCGCTCAGCCTCACTGTATGACACAGCAGATGATGAGTGGTTGTCTGAGGGTAAAGGTGTGTAGGAAACACACTCACTCACGTCAATATATTTCCCCATTTCAGTTTACTTTGGCTAATGTTCTTCCTTTCTCTCAAGCTTGGAGGTGAGCCACAAGGATGGACAAATGTCTATGGTGTTTTAAAAGGAACAAATCTCTTCTGTTATCATCAAAAAGAGGACATGGGGGCCAATGTGGAGCCTGTTTTAACGATTGGGATTAACAAAGTAAGTTCAGTCATACTCTGGAGATTTTAAGCGTGCTCATTTATGCACATGATATCAGGGTCATTGTTCTGCTTTTGGAAATATCATGAGATATTTTTCTTTGTGAGTATCTTGAAAGCACTCTTTCAAATGGATTCTCTCTTTTTCAGAAAGAGAGAATCCATTTGTCGGAACATTTTTCATTGTGTCAGTAGTTATGAAAAGACGTTTTTGTTTGCCATGCACTGGGTCTGGATCTTTCAGTGCCCCTAGAGAGCTGCGTGTCACCAGCACAAAGAGCTTGTTTTAACATCTGAGAGCTGCACTGTGAGTCTGCACATTCCTCAGCTCTCAGGTGACTGCTGTGCACTACACACGCTTTACTTGTGCTCTGCTGCCACCTACTGGATAGAACTGAAATTACTATTTTATACAGCAAAATATGTGCAAAACTTTTGCTACAGTTATTGCTATTATATACTATGACTTCAAACAAGAACCTTATGCAAAACGGCATAGTTCAGAATGTTTTAAAAGAAGTCTGAAAGTGAAAAACCAATATTTGACACCATATCCTTTAGATATGATGATAATAATAATGTAAATTGCAAAATGTGTAGTAAACAAGTCTTCAAACTGAAACTCTGTCAGACTGTACATTATTCTGCTTATAACATTGATCCATATCACATAAATAAATAAATTACATTAAATTTGAGTTTAAATTATTTTATACTGTTAGAACAAATAGACAATAGTACTACTGTAGTATTGTGTATAGTTGATATTGTTGTTGGTGTTATTTTTAAGTATGCATAAATAATGTGTGAGCAGTCAACCGTTACCTATGTTTTTGTTTTTAAATTAGCATACTTTTATTTTGCACTGAATTTTCAATTTTGATCAAATGAATAATAAAACCATCAGATTGTGCCTTTCAGTTATATACTCTACACTTCAAAAGTTCTGGTCAGTAAGATTTTCTTTTTTTATTTGAAAGAAATTAATACTTTTGTTCAGCAAGGACACAAATTGATCAAAGATGACAGTATAGACTTTGTTACAAAAGATTTCTATTTCAAACATGCTGATCTTCAAACAACTTTTTATTCATCAAAGAATCCTAAAAAAAGGATCACATTTTCCACAAAAATATTAAGCAGCACACCTGTTTTCAACATTGTTTTAAATGTTTTAATTTGTAAATATATTGAAATTAAAAAATGTTAATTTAGTAGTAGTATTAGTAGTATTAAACAGTAGTAACAGTTTGTAAATAGTAGTAATATTTTACAGTATTTTAGGATTTTTTTTACTGTATTTTTGATCAAATAAACAAGATACTTCTTTAAAAAAAAACTGTATAAAAAATCATACTGACCCCAAACTGTTGTGTATATGATATCAGTTATAGTTTATATTATAATTTCACAATTCTTTAAAAAAAAAATGTAATGTGTCTCCATCTCAGGAGACGAGAATACGGGCCGCAGAGAAGGATCCTCACAGCAAGGCACAGAATATCTGTATCACTAACCAGTATGGAGGAGAGGAGGTGATGCACACACTAGCAGCAGACAGCAGAGAGGACACACAGCGCTGGATGGAGGCCTTCTGGCAGCAGTTCTATGATATGAGTGAGTACATAAACTCTAAAATTACTCAAATGCACTAAGTGACCATAAAGCCATAAGCCACACAAGACTGTGCATTACTGTGCAAAAAACCATTAACTGTGGTAAAATAATTTTTATGTCAGCCCTAGAGTGGCTTTTTGCTTTTATGAAACCGTGACAGCAGCAATAATGCTAATGAACGACACAGTGCTCAATTATATAATAAAAAAAAAGAATAATTAAATTCACATCACTTTCACTTTCATTACCAGAAAAGTTTGACTAAGCTGCATGCGCCCTCTACAGGCCAGTGGAGGCAGTGCTGTGACGACCTGATGAAGATTGAGCTGCCTTCGCCACGCAAACCTGCCATATTCACCCCGAAGCAGGGCTCCCTGTACCATGAGATGGGTGAGTGCATTCAGACACCTTTTTTACACATTTACAGAGGCTGGAGGAGAGATTTAAGCTCTAGATTGGCACAAAATATAGGCCGGTGGCACTGTAGAGCCATACATCTAGACAGATGATGACAGAAATAATGCACACGCAGGATTTGCTGTCATGAATAACAGATATGCCTGTGAACCTAACGATGATGTGTGGATTGAAGTGCATATCCTCGTCCTCTGTCAGATCTGAGTCTTTCTCTTTATCAATTTATCTCCTTTAACTGCTAAAATGAAAGTCTGCTGTTTCTGACAAACTGACAGTCTTTTCTCTCTTTTCTTCTCTGTCTTATTTTCTCTGTGGTTTTTATGTCTGTCTCTTCACTGTTTTTTTCATGTCTGTTTTTCCCCTCCTCTTCCACTTTATTCCTATTGATTTTTCATGCACTCTTGTATTTTCCTGGTTTCATGCCTTAAATTTGTAATCCAAACATCCATCCCATACATTCCCCAACCACTGTATCATTATTTGGTTGCTATATAAACACTCATTCCCTGCATTTGTTGGCCCCTCGTGTGTTTTGCTGGCCTCCCCCTCCTCAGTGGCCCCTGCATCCGGTGAGGGGCTTTTGCTGCAGGATAACGCTGTCTCTGCTGAGATCCGAGCTCTGCTCTCCTCTTATTACAATGACAGGTGAAGTAACTGTGATGAGAAGTTACCGGACCTCACGCTCTACCCTCAGAAGATGCTACTGTCCCACAAGATCCCAACCTTTTTTGTTGCCCCTGTGACCAACAACTTTTACTTGATGTAGATTTCAAATACGGTTCTAAGCTTATATAAATTAAATGAGTAATGCACTAAGCAATTATTACTATTATTATTATATTATTAGATGACACCATAGTAGATTGCTATATTTTCATTGTTTTAATTTGTACTTTTTTATTGTTTTTTTTCTTTGAAAAAATCATAAGTATAAAATGATAAAAATAAATCTATGTAACAACAGAGTACATTGATTTATTATAATTTTTTAGTTTATATGTTTTATTTTAACAGACAATTATTTTATTGTGTTTATTTTATTTTTTTATTATTTTATCTCATTTTATTTAACAATTTATTTTATTTTATTCTAAAAAGTAAAATTATAATAACGAAAAAATGTTAAAATAAATGACTGAAAATAAAACTTTTTATATTGTTTTATATTTACTCATTTATTTTATTTTCACTTTTTGTGCACACTGACTTTTTTTGCATATTGTTTCAATTGTACTTATTTTAAGAGTTTTTTTTTAATTGTGTATTATCGAAAATGTTTTATTGAAAGACTAAAATTGAAGCTTGCAACTCAAAATCAGCTATCAGGCAAATAACATTTTTTTCAGCTTTTTTGAAGAAAAAAAGAAAGGTTTTCATTATCTCTACTGTTTCTCTTCCGTCACAGTTATTGATACATCTGATGACATTGGAACAGTCACTGACATCCTGGCTCGTCGTATTGAAGAGTTTGAGCTGAGGGCCCAGCTCGGATCTCCGCCTCACTGGATGTCCTTGTTTGATGAAGATCCCCCGAGATCCCCTCACAGCCATCAGCACCTTCCGCCCCACTCACCCAGTCCTCGCCTGCACAGTCGCCAGCCCCGCAGCCCACGCTGCCACCGCACACCCGGCCTTCTCTCCTCCAACGCCAGCCTGACCTCAGACAGCGACAGTCCCGCCAGTGTCAGCCCCTGCTTCCGCCAGGCATGGTCCTCGGACACCTCTTCCACCTCGGGTCGCTTCCGCCCCCGTACCCTCTCCCTGGATGCCAAGCTCTCCACTCTGCGCGCTCGGGGCTATGGTGGCTTCCAGTGCAACTGCCAGCCACCCACCGCCGGCTCTGGGTCTCCTCGCCCCACTCAGACTGCTCTGTCCTGCTCTAGTTCCACTTCCAGCAGCAGCTCCAGTGAGGGAAGCAACAGTCAAGAGTCAGACCTGGGCTTTTCTAGACCGCCCGGCGCACGCCACAGCTTGAGGAATGTGAGAGCTAAGCTAGACCCCAGGAACTGGCTGCAGAGTCAGGTGTAGCTGTTACACTTCCTCTGGTTACTGTCAGAGCCATCACAACTTCCTGTGTCTCCCTGGAAAAAACTGGAATACCTGAGGTCATGTGTGCTCAATGTCCGTCATTGCATTTTCTTTACATAATAATGGAGAGCAACATAAAAAATAACAATTTTCTTCTGCCTTTTAAAGGAGCCTCCACAGTGGGAATCCAATACTATTAGTTATATAATACACTACTAATATATATAGCAGTACACATTGTCTCTTCATGAAAAGCTCATTATTTTGGATCTTTTGAGAGCGTAGTTGTTTTATGTGAGACCGATTTTTACAGTGTTTTTAGACTGGATTGAAGCAGTAGCTTTCTGGCCAGTCATTGTGTCTGTGTGCACTGTTTTAGATATATGGTTTAGAAAGTGCTGTCAGGGTCAAGTCTGCTGAGTATTCATCATTACGCACATTAAGCCTGGCAAATACACTACCGTTTGGGGTCAGTGAGATTTTTAAATGTTTCTGAGAATTTTTTAAAGTCTCGTATACTCAACAAGGCTGCATTTATTTGATCCAAAATACAGTAATATTGTGAAATATTATTATCATTTAAAATAACTGTTTCCAATATTAAAATATTTTATAATGTAATTTATTTCTGCGATGGCAAAGCTGAATTTTCAGCATCTTTTACGTAATCATTATAATATGCTGATTTGGTGCTCAAAACATTTATTATTTTCAGTGTTGAAAACAATGCTGCTTATTATTTTGTGGAAACTGATTTTTTTTTTTCAGGATTCTTTGATAAAGAGCAGCATATTTTGTAACATTATAAATGTCTTTACTGTCATTTTTTAAAATCTATTTAATGCACCTTTGCTGAATTAAAGTATTAATATCTTTAAAAAAAATCTCACTGATCCCAAACATTTGAACACTAGTGTATTCAGGAACAGTGATCTTGGAAACATAGTATTAATAAACTTAACGTGTGAAAGTTAGCTTAGGACTGATGAATTTCACTTTATTAATAAGTGCCACTGCACTCTATGAAGAAAGTCTGATAATACCAGTTTAAATTCTGCATCTTTTTTCAATTGTTAATAATGTAATTAAGGACATTACCAATAACTGACTTTCTGTCAAGGCTCACACAGTCACTTTTGTTGATGTTGTGCTGTATGGTTGTTTTGGACATATACTGACAACTTGTGGTTTGGATCCCGTCTCACACAAAAGCAACATTTTTCGTTTGCAGAAATGTGTGGTTGCAGAACCGCTCTCTCTGCAGACAGCCATGGTTAATTTAATCTTTGATCAAAAGTGTCTAACAATAGAAGGGTCACTGAGTTAAAGCCAGCAGGATCTTTGCATGGCTGCCCCTGTAAGGAGACACGCTTTATGTAAAATTAAACAGCTTTTATTATGCTATTGATGTGAATAGAGTCTTCGTCTCATCTAACAGTTCATGATTTGATACATATTTTTCAAAAGTACTATATGTTTCTTTTTGTGACACCTGAGGAAAAGTGCAACCCTAGAATTGTATAATATCTGCTATAATGTCTGTTACAGTTCATGACGTTCTCTTTGCATGGCTTCAGTATATACGCAAAGGTCCAGATGTCTCAAGACTCTATTCAAGTTTATCATGACGGGATATAATGTGACTCCGTTTGCTACCTGTGACTGTAATGACCTCAGGATTACTGTACATACCTTATCTCACTCAGCAAATGTGAACCCCCTATCAGTCAGAAAAAGTAAAAAATCAGAATGCACATTAACTAGGATTCAGCACAAGCAATGAAATTTGGCTGGAAGTTGAATGTTTTGGGTGCTTTGTTTTAACGGTCCTTCGTTTTGAGCCATTGCAGTAAAGGCCTGTCTGATTGACAAGGGTTGCGAAGGCACTACTATGCAAAGCTACAAGAGCTCAAAGTTAATTGTGTATTCTAGATTTCATTTACGTCAGCGGTACACGCATTATTTGAAGATTTTCCTTTTCCTTGTTTGCTTGCAGGTCAGTTTTGTCAAGCACTTTGTGTGCTTCTAACTTTGTGGATTTGCAGTGTCATATGGCATCTTCCAGCTCAGATAAAGTGAACATTTGCTTGAAGACAAATATATACGCAATATTTACCATAATGAAAGTCTAGATAACTATTATTGTGATTTCAGTAAAACCTCAGGAGTGTAATTACAGTCAATCTTGCCATGAAAATATTAATTTAAAAAACACATCTGCACAGTATATTAGGTATCCAAACCTGTATTGTATTTTTTTTTTTCATATGAAATTTTAAAAAATGGTCAGATGGAGACATGGTTTTCTTTATATAATTACAGAGATTAAAGTTCCGTCGCTATGACGGATTTCCGTCAGTTCATAAAGAGAGTCACTTGCTTCATTCCTGAATGAATCAGCCGTTCAAACGAATCAATTGAATGAATGATTCAGTGATAAAATCAGTGACTTGCTGCCACCTGCTGGCGGATTTAGTTTCATTTTTAGCGTATAATTTCAGTTATTTAAATCATATTTTTTGAATACAGAAATATGATTTAAATAACTGAAATTATACGCTAAAAATGAAACTAAATCCGCCAGCAGGTGGCGGCAAGTCACTGATTTTATCACTGAATCATTCATTCAGTTGATTCGTTCAATGGCTGAATCATTCAGGAATGAAGCAAGTGACTCTCTTTATGAACTGACGGAAATCCGTCGTAGCGACGGAACTTTAATCCCTGTAATTACATGTATAGTGTATTACATATATTAGAAAGTTGGAAGTGTAGAAATACTAGACTAACCTATCCTCTTAAATTCAGAATTAGTAGAGAAAGTTTTGTCCTAGTACTGTGATGCTACATAATTAATAGTTCTCACTTGAAGGGCCACTGACTTGTATTTAAAAACTGTACATTCATTTAAACAGTATTTGTTCTTGTAAAGTTTTGTAATTTTGTGCTTTTATTAAAGTTGTGTTTTACCATATTAATTTTTGTTATAAATAAAATTATATCGACATTTTATCAGACGCGTAAAGCTCTAATTATCCTGGTAGATAACATTGAATGTTAAACTGGAGGTAAGTGTCATTTCAGCAGGCGGTCTGCATGTCTTTGGACAAACTAATAGATTCATGTACAAGAGCAATTTATTGTAAAGAATTACCAAAATTAAAAACCGCATTTTTGTGTGTATGTGTGTAATTCTCTTGATTCTTGCAGTGCATGTGTCAAAAGATTTTACTTGACAATGTTCAAGATAGTAAACTCATTGTGACTCAGTAAAGTGAATCCCTTTAATTTGAACTCATGCATTAATACACAAGTAGTGAATATGGTTTCTTGAAGATCATGATACTCAAAATAGTACGAAGGCAGTGTACTGGCTGTGCAAAAAATCAAAAACATAAAAGCATTATTGCAGAATGTGGGAAAAACAAAAACCTCAGTTTATTACACTAAGAAATTACTAACAGAGAGCATAGAGTAAGTTAAACGTGTTGGTGATTCTTCTATTGTTTGGTCTTCCCCATTAATACAGAAGAACTTTGTTAGTTGGAAAACTACCTATTACTAAAATCTGGTTACAAACGTTAAATGGATTAGACAGACCCTCTCTAGAAGTAACAATATCTATGTTCATGGTCAGAGATAAATATAAATAAAATAGAAAAACAATGTGTATTTGATAGCATTTACACAACAGTGAACTTTGTCTTATTGTACACTACTGTTCAAAAGTTTAGGGTCAGTAAGATTTTTATTTTTTGAAGGAAATTAATACTTTTATTCAGCCTTGGTGAGCTTTAGAGACTTCTTTCAATAACATCACAAATCTAACCGACCCCAAACTTTCAAACGGTAGAAAGATGGAAGAATTTAATTTTGACGGAAGGTTCAGAGCATTTAAAAACATGTGATGGCTGCCAAGCTCAGTCTTAAGGGTATCTGCTTGTAATATAACTAATTTTTTTAACCATCATTTTTTAACCATGTGTGTATGCAGGTATGACAGGTATGCTATTCAGAATGCTGTAAACACATCTCTGCTTTAAAAAAAGCATGACATGTTACAAGTATTAAACCTACATTATCAACACGTTTTACTGGTACTATGACATAGCACTAGTTCTCAAAAAAAAAAGAAAGAAAAAAAAAGAAACACGTTTCTATACTCAGGACCAACTGACATGTGACTGTATAAGCTGGATTTATGTGTAAAGGCCTCAACATAAACTGAAATCTGTTCTTAGCAGACACCTCCACCACCTTTGGTATCATTTAGTAATGATAACAGTAACAACAGTATGTAAAATAATAAATGTAATGTGTAAATAATAAAATGATCATTTGTGTACAATCAAGTGAGAATCCTCAGTCTGGCGGTTGATGATCACTAAAGTCTCAATTGTCGACTTTGGCTGCCTGTTTTGGAGCGAAAGGAATCGTTGGCCAAGTTGTGCCAGTGAACGCTTCACTTGCAACCCTTTTCCTGTGACTCTTAGTCTCAGAGTACATGGTACATCCTCATAGACCGGGTTTTGTGGTTCTTGGTCCCTGAGAATTGGTAAAAAGGGAAGAGGAAAAGGAAAAGTCTTTAGATGGTCTCTACGTAGTTGGCGGGAAAGAGACCCTGGCGTCCATCTTTACTGGAGCCCCTCCACCACGCTTTGTCGATTGTTTCCACATCACTGATGATGTCACCAGGTTCAAATGAGAGCTCAGTGTCATCCTCTGTGGAGAACAGAGACGTTTTAAAGCATATCTTATTCAATTACACAGCACTGCTGTTGAAGCAAGCAACACTAACCTGCTTGGTAGTCATATAATGCTCTCACACGCAGAAGTCTTTCTGCTGATGACTGCAATAAGAAGGAACAACACGTTTTAGTACTTCCTTTCTTCTTTTATCACAATATTAATGACGAGTCATGTCTAGTGTGCTATGTGCTTCGCCGTTCTCAGTCACCACCTCCATCTGGATTTCATCGTCATCTTCCTCCTCACGATTAACCATATAATAGTACCGCTCAGGTGTGCTGTGCTCAGATACATCAACATCCTCTACTTAAAAACAAAACAAGGTGTTCAATATTCACATATCTATACATTCATCACACGAGAGACAACAAAACTAGATAACGCAAGGCTGGAATACCCTATACAACGTTTGCCCAGATCTGCAGATTCTGGGCCGTCAAGAGTTGACAGATTTTACAAAATTTTTTTAAAAATCACAGACTCGGTTTTTTAATCTTCAGACTGTGATTCCATCCAGTCAGAGGATTGCAAACATGCTTGATATTTTGAGCTGATTTTAGAACACACATAGTTTTCATTTGTTGTTCAGTTTTTTTTTGTTGTTGTTTTTTTTGCGTGAGTCTGTTGTGTTTGGAAGGACTTGAAAGTCTGGTAGCTCTAATTAGCTCATTACCTGTCCCATTCAGTGGTCTGCCACATTCAGATCCATCTTCTTCATACTCTGATGCCATCACACATGACTCTGGGCACACAGCACGAGAAACATGTCAGTGAAATCCCAACCAT